GCCCCATATTCGTGGACTTAATTGTTTTATAAACTCCTAATTTGCAAGAGCCGTGTCAGATAATTTGGACCTTGACCTCAAGCTTCCCGTTAAGCAAATATTAAATAATAATTTAATCAAGTCCAACCTCCTTTGTATTTGCAGTTGAGATTCTTTGCCAGCCAGGAGTGAGAGCTCTGGAGGCAGAAGTGCTCTGATGCAGCCGAATATTAGGTTTCAAAACCAAACAAGAGAAAAAAATCTCAACCTCAAGGCATCCTTTAACAGAAATTACTTCACATTTTCCACCTCCAGTGATGTCTTTATACCACAGCGAGGCTGTTCCAAACGTGGGGAATGCTGCTCCCTATTGGAGCGATCAAGTACAGCACTCAGCTCTCAGCCAGAGAGACTTAAACCTCTCCAAAACTAAAACCAGAGCAGAATTTGGCTGGTGTGAAACGGATCACACAAGTCACCATCCAAACACCCGACACACAGTACAATTTCATTGATGTAAAAGAGATTTTAGAGATATAATTCAAGGAAATGTATGCTGCTGCCAGGAAGGGCATTTGGATCAGGGAATACAGGTAAAAGGATAAGGGAGGGATAAATTCTTTTATTTCAGATCCAGATGACAGCAAAGAGTGGCCACTACAGAGAGTGCCTGGGTGGTGGTGGAAGGGGAGGAGGAGACTTCCTACAACTCCCTCAAAGGACAAGGAAATGGCCTCAAGTTGTGCCAGAGGAGGTTTAGATTGGATATGAGGGAAAATTTCTTCACTGAAAGGGTGGTCAAACATTGGAACAGGCTGCCCAGGCACTGCTGGAGTCCCCATCCCTGAAGAGATTTAAAATCCATGTGGATGTGGCCCTTGAGGACATGGGGCAGTGGTGGCAGTGCTGGGGGATGGTTGGATTTGAAAGTTTTTTCCAACCTGAGTGATCCTGTGATGATGCTGGTGAGTGACCTGCGAGCACTGGAAAGCAAATGAGAGTGACACAGAGCTGGGGAAGGGGCTGAAGCACCAGGAGGGGCTGAGGGAGCTGGGGAAGGGGCTCAGCCTGGAGAAAAGGAGGCTCAGGAGGGACCTTGTGGCTCTGCACAACTCCCTGACAGGAGGGGACAGCCAGGGGATCAGGCTCTGCTCCCAGGGAACAGGAACAGGAGCAGAGGAAATGGCCTCAAGTTGTGCCAGGGGAGGTGTAGACTGAACATGAGGGAAAAAATCCTTCATGAAAAAGGTGATCAGACATTGGAACAGTTGCCCAGGGCAGTGGTGGAGTCCCCATCCCTGGAGGGATTTCAGAGCCCCGAGGATGTGGCACTTGGGGACATGGCTCAGTGGTGGCCTTGGCAGTGCTGGGGGATGCCTGGACTTGGTGGTCTTGGGGATCTTTTCCAACCTCGGTGATTCTGGTTCAAGGCTTCCAGCAGATCTTACATTCCCCAGCCGAGCCAGCTGCTCTTCTTTTCAATCACAGCTTCAGAAGTGAATTTCTATGGTGTTTCCTGAGTATTTCTCCCTGTGGAGAAGCCCCTGAGATGTTTTGCTCCCAGGAGGCTGGTGGTAACAAAGCACAAAGGCACCAAACACAATTATTTCTTGAAATTAAGCGATATTTCTTAATTTCTACCTTTATTTTCCCAGCACTTTCAATCTAAGCAAGGGGTTCGGACTCTGCTCCCAGGGAACAGGGACAGGAGAAGAGGTAACAGCCTCAAGCTGTGCCAGGGGAGGTTTAGTACAGGAATGTGCCCCTTGTTGATGGAGTGACAAAACTATCCTCTGTCCCCTTAAAAAGGAAATAAGCCTAAAAATTTCTCTCCTCAATGAGGTGAAAAAGACACCTCATACGACTTGGGGGACTTCACCTCAAACTTAAGGACAGCTATTGGACAGAAGCCAAAAAGTCTCACCTAGGCAATTTACTAGAAAAAAAAGAAGAGAACAAAAAAATTAATCACTTTTGTGAGGTGTTTTACTTGGGGCAAGAGGGCTTCTTGCACCTATTGGTTTTTCTCTGTAAAGAGTTAGTTATTTTGCCTTTTATTAAAACCTTTTTGTTTCCAACACTACCACAAAAGCCATCCTATTAATTTTATGCCTTCTAAAGTAGCTAAGCTATCTTAAATGTGAAACAAATCTCCAAAAGCTTATAAAACCTAAATCAAAGAGACTGCTATTTCAGTTCAGGTTGCACATCAGGAGGAATTTCTTCATAGAAAGGATGGTCAGGCATTGGAAGGAGCTGCCCAGGGAAGTTTGGAGTCCCCATCCCTGGAGGTGTCCGAGGAAAGTCTGGACGGGGCACTCAGTGCTCTGGGCTGGTGACAAAGTGGGGATCAGTCACAGGTTGGACTCAGTGATCTTCGAGGCCTTTTCCAACCTATGAACACAGAAAAAGGGCTCTTCTATGGTTGATTCTGATCTCCAAGGATTTCCTCCTGGAGAAAAGTGTTAAGTGAAAGTTTTGAACAGGAAAATATCTCTCTGCCACAAAGTGAAGGTCCGGGCAGTATTTATTTGTTTTCACATCAGTCGAGCCCGATGAATGTGACCTGAAAGTGCAGAGAACTGGCAATAAAAAGTCTGGGGAGAACAAACCCTGTGAGGATTCCTGGCAGTGGGATATGGCCTCAGAAAAACATAAAAGGACCAGTTAAATACTCTTGTTTAAAGGAGGAAGTGGGGCAGCCAGAGCAGCCAGTTTAATAGGACCTGAATATGAACTGTTAAAAATAAATCACCAAACTAATTATAAAGTTAGAGATTTGCCAGGATCAAGCTCCACCATACCAATGTAACTTTGCTGACAGACAGAAGGGGTCTTAGAGTGGAATAGACTCAGATAAAATGTTTGTTTGCTTTGTCTAAGAAGAAAAGACAAAAAATCTTGCAAAAACTGTCTTGTACAATGTTCCAAAAGCAAACAGGGAACTGTAACAAAAATCCAAAGGCACAGCAGCAAAGCAGTGGGAAAAGCAGAGCTGGGGAGCTGCAACCCAGCTGCCATCCAGATGGGAGTGTGGATGGAGAAAGAGCAGTGGGAAATCTCTTCTGATCCTCTCTGTGAGGAAAGGCTGAGGGAATTTGGTGTGTTCAGCCTGGAGAAGAGAAGCTTTGGGGTGATCTAATTGTGGCCTCCCAGTACCTGGAAGAGAGCTGGAGAGGGACTTGGGACAAGGCATGGAGGGACAGGACACAGGGAATGGCTCCCACTGCCACAGGAAGGGGTTAGATGGGATATTGGGAAGGAATTCCTGGCTGTGGGAGTGATGAGGCCCTGGCACAGGGTTCCCAGAGAAGCTGTGGCTGCCCCTGGATCCCTGGAAGTGTCCAAGGCCAGGCTGAAGCGACCTGGCATAGCGGAAGGTGTTCTTGACCAGCAGTGCCCAGAGGGCAAAGAAGGCCAAAGTGATGCAGAGGTGCTCCAGGGAAAGCATTTCCAGCAGGTCAGGGAGTGATCCTGCCCCTCTGCTCAGCCCTCTGAGGCATGTCTGGGGTGCTGTGTCCAGCTTTGGGCTCCTCAGGGCAGGAGGGACACAGAGCTCCCGGAGCAGGCCCAGCAACAAGGATGGTGGAGGGCCTGGAGCATCTCCCTTGTGAAAAACACCAATCACCTGTTTTTAAAATTCTAAAAGTTTAGCAGTAATAAAATGGTTATAAAAATAGCAATGTAATCAGAGTAATAAAAATTTTGGACAATTTAGATTAGGACAATATGAGACAATAGAAACAAAGAGTTATGGATGTCCGGGTACCTTTTTCTGGGCAAAATAAACACAAAAATGGACACACATTAACAAAGGATTAACCCTTCAAAACAACAGCTTGTTGCATATTCATACACCTCATACATGATGCATAAACTCCATTCAAATACAGGATTCTGTCTGGTCAGTGCCAGTTTCTTCCTCTTAATCCTGACAGCGTCTTCGTGACTGAGTGAGGTAGATAGGAAGAAGTTAGTTTCTTCTGATAAGAGGGCAATAAATTCTCTTTCTCTGAAAGATTTAGGTGTCCTGTGGCTGCTATCTCTCTGCAAGGCCTTTCTTTAAAAAAATTATCCTACATAGCATAGTTTCTATTTTAACATTATGTTATAACCTAAAACTATGTTTAACACACTACTTAAAAAAATTCATACAGCATAACTTTCTAACATAATACATATAATATTCATTTGAATATTTGCAAAAAGACAATCATATAATACACATTTTTCACTGTGAAAAATGCATGTATTTTATGATTGGCTTTTTGCAAATATTCAAATGAATATTATATGTGTTGTGTTAGAAAGTAATGCTGGATTAATTCTCTTAAGTAGTGTGATAAATACAGTTTTAGGTTATAAAAAATGTTAAAATAGAAACCATGCTATGTAGGATACTTTTTTTAGAGAAAGGACTTGCAGTGAGATAGCAGCCACAGGACACCTAAATCTTTCAGAGAAGGAGAATTTATTGCCCTCTTATCAGAAGAAATTAACTTCTTCCCACCTCGAAGGTGCTGTTAGGATTCAGAGGAAGAAGCTGAGGATGACCAGACAGAATCCTGTGTTTGAATGGAATTTATGCATCATGGATGAGGTGTATGAATATGCAACAGGCTGTTGTTTTTAAGGGTTAATCCTTTGTTAACGTATGCCCTTTTTCAGGCTCGTGCTGCCCAGAAAAAGGTACCCAGACGTCTGTAACTCTGTCTCTATTTTCTCATATTGTCCTAATTCAAATTGTCCAAATTATTATTACTCTAATTGTATTACTATTTTTATAACCATTCTATTACAATTAAACTTTTAACATTTTAAAAACAAGTGATCGGCGTTTTTCACATTCACAATTAGAATTGTAGCAAATTTTCAATCTTTATTTCCTTTTTTTTTTTTTTAATTTTCACTTTGGTGGCCGCCGCGCTCGCCTGTTTTAAAACTTTTTTTTTAATCAGGCGCTACTCGCGCCGGCCTTTTTATGAGCCGGTAGTCACCAAAGTCCCCTGCACGGAGGAAGGCCCCCAAGATGGCGATGCTGGCGGAGCGTGAGTGCCCATCCCGGCGGGAATGCAGCGGGAATGGGGACGAGCCGGTGCCCCGGGAGCGGCCTCAGCCCCTCCCCACAGCCCTGCCTGAGGGCTTCGGGCCGCGCTGCCCCTCCCGATGGCTGCGGAGGGGTCCCAGGGGCCGATAAAGGGGTTCGGGAGTTAAGGCAAGGGGAGGGCAGGGACTGGGGGAGGTGGGATGAGGAGTCTGTCTGTCCGGGAAATAGGGTTCCCTCTGTCAGGGGAGTGGCGTCATGGCGAGGGGAGACCCCGGGATGGCGGGAAAATGGTTCAGGGGCTCCCGGTGTTGAAGAAAGGCGGGAATGGGGGTTCAGAGGGGCTCGGTGTGGGAAATTGGGGGGTCTGGGAGCGGCAGACCCAGGCTGGGGTGGCAAAAGGGGCTCAGGAGGTCCCCGATGGTGGAGAATGAGGGGATTTGGGTCAGGGAAAGGCAGGATGGGAGTGTGGGGGATTCTAGGGCCGAGGAAAAGGGGGGCTGAGGCAGAAGAGGGGCTCCAGGGGTCCGGATTGTGGTCTGGGAAAGGCGGGATGGGAGTGTGGGGGATCCCAGGGCCGAGGAAATGGGGAGCTGAGGCAGGGGAGGGACTCCAGGGGTCCCTGGCGGTGGGAAATGGAGGGGCTGGGGGCTGGGAAGGCAGGAAGGGGCATCCGGGGGGTCCCAGGGTTAAGGAGAAGGTGGGGTCTGGACGATGGGAGGGTGGGAAAGGGTTCCAGGGAGACATTGGTGCAGGATTAGGGGGTGCAGGGGGTTCTTTGTGGGGTCTGTGTGTCCCAGGCAAGGCAGGAGCAGTGGGAATGTCCCTTGGACACCTTAGGGACAGCTCATCCTGTCAGTCCTTGGGGCCATCTCTGGCTGTGTGTTTGAGAGGAGATACCTGCAGCACCGGGGTGTGGGTGCTGGGGACACCCAGGGGACATGGCAGGGCTGGGTGTGGGAGCTGGGGACACCCAGGGGAGGTGGCAGGGCCGGGTGTGAGTGCTGGGGACAGCCAGGGGACATGGCAGGGCCAGGTGTTGGTGACATTGAGAGGACGTGGCAGGGCTGGGTGTGGGTGCTGGGGACACTCAGAGGATGCAGCAGGGCCAGATGTGGGTGCTGGGGACACTGAAGGGACATGGCAGGGCCAGGTGTGGGTGCTGGGGACACCCAGGGGATGCAGCAGGGCTGTGTGTGGGTGCTGGGGACACTGAGGGGTGGTGGCATGGCCAGGTGTTGGTGCTGGGTTCAGTGCTTGTGTCATTTCTGGGGCAGAGCTGGAGCTGAGCTCCCCCTGTGCCAATCTCCAGCTTCTGGGGACCCTCCAGAGGAGGATTTGAGTTGGGGAAGGGTCTGGAGGGACCAAATGAGCAGTGACCAAGCACACTGGGTTGTCCAGGACCAAGGTCAGATGTTGGGGGTGCAGAAAGAGGGGGTGGACTGAAGAGTTTAAAAGATGATTTATTGCAAAATCAGTCATGGAAGGGTGGGACTGTGAGGTTCTTACATCCAAACCCATCACATCAGAAACCGTTATAATTCTAGTTATAATGCCTTTTATAAGGCATTCATTATCCAAATTTTTGATTTCTTATCCAATCAGCTGCTTCCACAAAGTTCATTAGCATCTTCATAACCAACTGCTAATTGCTGCTATAATATTGCTATTATAATAGCCAATACTACAATAGTCAATACTATAATAGGCAATTGCTAATTGCTATTATAATTCTAGTTATAATGCCTTTTATAAGGCATTTATTATCCAAATTTCTGATTTCTTTTATAAGGCTTTTTATAAGACTTTTATAAAGCTTTAGTTATCCTGATTTCTGATTCATTAGCATCTTCATAACCAATTGCTAATTGCTACATTTTGCATGGTTTACCCCAATTTCTCTTTTTCTGTCCATAGAAGAAGAGAAATATAATATCTGTCATTATAGATATCATAAATATCATTTATTTCTATCATATAACTACAGAAACTTACTGATGTGTCTTCTACTTTTTATCAACTCTACAAGTTCTATTGTTAAATTTGAATTCTTTTCTGCTATTCTGCTTAGCATGTTTGTTCACTTATATGAAGCCTGTATCTACTTGCTTAAAACATATTTCTACTTAAACTACATATCTTTATTCTTATTTTGGGTCTGTTTTACTACTGTATTTTAAAGTTTCAGGCTTTCTCCAAGGCCTTAAATCAAACTCTGTGTCCATCTCTGAGCCTCAGAGCTCCCCAGGGCTGCAGCTTTTCCTGAGGGACAGCTCCAATTTCTGTTCCCTGGGACAGGGACAGGGGCCAGGAATGGCTGGGGCTGTGTCAGGTTTGGGTTGGAGATCAGGGAAAGGAGGATGTGGGGCACTGGAACAGCTCCCCAGGGAATGGTGACATTGCCAAGGCTGCCAGAGCTCCAGGAGAGTTTGGACAGTGCTCTCAGGGGGGATTATTGGGGTGTCTGTGCAGGACCAGGAGTTGGACTGAGGGATCCTTGTGGGTCCCTTCCAGCTCAGGATATCCCATAATTCCATGAATTTTGTTGAAATTTCCCTGACATTGTAAACAAAGAGCTTCAGTTTTGCCTCTGGGGATTGAGAAGTTGGGCTCCCCATTCCTGACAGGACACCCTTAACTGAGAGCTCAGGATCTGGTGAATTTCTTTGCTGGGCTGCAGGAAATATGGACAATACAAATAACAAATATGGTGTACAGTGGGCAATAAAGGTGTGATTTTAGGGAAACAAATCTGCATTTGCACATGGAATCTTGAAGGTATTTTCAGTGCAAACTTTAGTGTAATTTTTTTCAGAATTTGTTAATTATTTTAACTGCACATATCAGTAATGGACTTATTTGGAGTGCAAGGGGCTTTAAAGCTCATCCAGTTCCACCTTCTGCCATGAGCAGGGACAGCTTCCACTATCCCAGGCTGCTCCAAGCCCCTTCCAACCTGGCTGTGAACACTTCCAGGGATCCAGGGGCAGCCACAGCTTCTTTGGGCAACCTGTGCCAGGGCCTCCCCACCCTCACAGCCAAGAATTTCTTCCCAATATCCCATCCATCCCTGCCCTCTGGCAGTGGGAAGCCATTCCCTGTGTCCTGTCCCTCTGTCCCTTGTCCCCAGTTCCTCTCCAGCTCTCCTGGAGCCCCTTTAGGCCCTGCAAGGGGCTCTGAGCTCTCCCTGGATCCTTCTCCTCTCCAGGTGAGCACCCCCAGCTCTCCCAGCCTGGCTCCTGAGCTTTGTCCTTCTTGTGCCACCCAGACCATCTCTGGGCACAGCAGGGATTTGGATTGGAGCTTTCAGAAATTATGATTGAAAACGTGCTCCAGGCATAGAATTTATCTTGGAAAAGGGATTAGTAATGGATCTTTTCCAGATCATAGAATATCTGAGTGATGGAGTTGAGTTGTCCAGCACTGGCACAGCTGCCCAGGGCAGTGAGGAGTCCCCACCTCTGGAGGGATTTAAAATCCATGTGGATGTTGCACTTGGGGACATGGCTCAGTGCTGGCCTTGGCCGTGCTGGGGGATGGTTGGACCTGGTGATCTCAGAGATATTTTCCAGCCTCAGTGGTTCTGTGATTCACTAAAGAAATGTGGATTTTCTCCACTGGATGGTGCTGCTCTCCCAGAGTTCCATCACCTGAAGCAGCCCAGAAAACTGGTGTTAAATTAGGAGCTGAATCTTGTACCTGCTTTCCTCTCCTACTCTAAAGACATCAGTGAACAAATTTACATTTCTGATAAATTATTGACTAATTAGTGGATTTTGTTGTTTGTTTGGAAAGGAGAGATGATTTTATGTTTTCTGTACACAGCATGGAGCTGTTCCTGGCTTTCTTAAATACTTCTATAAAGATGAAAGAAAGTTTGTTTGGGGTTTTTTCCTGCATCTAACTCACCCTATTTAAAATTCAGAGTATGTTAACCTGGCAGAAACATGAGGATTAATCCCACAGTGTAGCTAAGAAGGTAGCTTAGATTGAAAGTGATGGGAAAGTAACTGTCTCTTAATTTCAAGTTTGATGCCCTTGTGCTTTGTTACCAACAACCTCCCGAGAGCAAAACATCTCAGGGGCTTCTCCACAGCGAGAAATATTCAGGAAAAAACACAGAAATTCACTTTTGAAGCTGTGATTGAAAAGAAGGGCAGCTGCTCAGCTGGGGAATGTAAGATCTGCTGGAAGCCTTGAACCAGAATCACCAAGGTTGGAAAAGATCTCCAAGACCACCAAGTCCAAGCATCCCCCAGCACTGCCAAGGCCACCACTGAGCCATGTCCCCAAGTGCCACATCCTCAGGGCTCTGAAATCCCTCCAAGGATGGGGACTCCCTCACTGCCATGGGCAGCTGTTCCAATGTCTGATCACCTTTTTCATGAAGGATTTTTCCCTCATGTTCAATCTAAACATCCCCTGGCATGACTTGAGGCCATTTCCTCTGCTCCTGTCCCTGTTCCCTGGGAGCAGAGCCTGACCCCCCTGGCTGTCCCCTCCTGTCAGGGAGTTGTGCAGAGCCACAAGGTCCCTCCTGAGCCTCCTTTTCTCCAGGCTGAGCCCTGTGGTTCTCCATGGGGCAGCAGGGAATCCCAGTTTATTTGGGAGTTTAAAATCCCAGTTTATTTGGAAGTTTAAAATCACAGACCACACTGCTGGTTCCCCATCTTTTTTGGCACCACGGGCTGGGCTTGGAGGAGTTGCTGCTCTCAAGGTTTCCTGGTTGGAGTAATCACAGAATCCCAGGATGGTTTGGGGTGGAAAGGACCTTATAGCTCATCCCATTCCACCCCCTGCCATGGACAGGAACACCTCCCACTACCCCAGGCTGCTCCAAATCCCATCCAGCCTGGACTTGGACACTTGCAGGGATCCAGGAGCAGCCACAGCCCCTGAGGTTAATAAGTTGTTTCCTGTAGAGAAGTGAACCAGGCAAAGGTTGGATTCCCCTCACAGCCCTCAGGCCTTTAACCCAGTTAAAAACTGTTTAGGGACCCTTTGGAGCTTCAAAGTTTCGGAAGTGGGATAAAAAAAGCCCCCACCTTGAATCCTGACAGTCTCAGTTCCTTAAGAATGAAACACAACTGGGCAAAAAAATGAGTCAAACATCCCTGTAATATTCAATCCCTCTGGCCCAAATCCCAAATCTTGTCTTTTAGGGAACGATGACTTCCTGATTGCATTGAAAACACCTCGTTGGATTTGGCTTCTCCCTGCCTTGTGTGGCCTTGGGTTAAAAAGTCATTTTTGATCCAGCATTTCCCATGGTGTTTAATGAAGTTTGTGATCTTCCTGTCTCCCATTCTTTGTTTGTCATGTTTATTTAGGTTTTCTTCCTGCCTGGGCTTAGGTGCACACATGGAGTGACTGGTTAACTGGGCTGGCTGCTCTTCCTTGATTTCAAGGAAGCTGTTCCTGGTGGGAAAGGCAACATGTGGGTCTGGGAATCTGTCATTTCTATAGGAATCCACATAGGACAAAGGAGCTTTGATTCTTCTTTGGATCTCTTAACTCCTGCAATAATTTCTGGCAGCTTTTCAGTTTCCCCATAAATCATTTTTGAGAAATCCAAAAGCTGAAATCCCACAGTTTTCTGTTCTGACATTCCCTTTCTCTGATCATTTACATGGATTTTTCATTTGGCTTTTATTACGAAACCAAATATTAAAATTTCTGGGTTCTGGTTGAAGGGAATCCTGGAGAATTGATTTTATCCAGAACTGGGAAAGCAGCTTCATCATTTCCTCCTCTGTAGACTCCATGCTGAAGCCAGATGTAAAACAAAATTGGAATCAATATGGAATTCACACCTAAATGTTAATCCTTAAAACCTCCCTGAACTGCAGCCCATCCTGAGGGACAGCAACTTCCACAGCAATCCCACTTTGGCATCTTCCCATTAATAATTAATATTTTCACTAGGCTTTTATTGTTGCTGTTGTGTTTTTTCATTTAGTAAAATTAACCCCCAAAATATATCGAGTCTGGCATAAGTTCTGGGTGGTTTTTTTTACAATGAAAAGCAAAAATTGGACTGATTCAACACCAAGAACTCTCTGGCAATGCCACTAAAGCCTGTGTGAATTTTCCCTTCCTGCTGCAGCCAGGAGAAAGCAGAAGTGGTCTGTGGATCCACGGAACAGCGCTTGGAGCAACGATGACTCCAAATTTGGCCAGAAGATGCTGGAAAAGATGGGCTGGTCCAAAGGAAAGGTAGGATCTAAAGGAGAACAGTGTAGCTGAAGGGTCTAAAACTGCCAAGGGACAGTTTTGATTTATTCTCTTAAGTGCACAGGGAAGTTGAACAGTGATAGACTGTTCTACACTTTGTAACAAAGTCTTGTTTGTGCCTCTCCTGCTTTCCAGCTTCTCTCCATTCTTTGACAATCTGAATTCCCAAGTGAGAGCAGAAATTGGAACATTTAATCAGGTTAAAGGTTTTAAGCTGCCTTTAAACCCTCAATTCTCTCCCTGCTTTTGATACTCTTTAAAATAACTCCAGTGCCTTCTTTAGTCTTTCAGTTTTAAGATTTTTTTTCTGATCTGTTCCTTGAACCCCCAAAATGCTGTGAGCTGTGTCCCTTCCCAGCTCCAGCCAGGACCTGTGGGTGAGGGGACTGATTTCTGGCACTAATAAAGACCTCCAGGTCAGCACAGACACCTGCAAACTGCAGGTTTAATTCCACAGAGGTGCCTCAGCAAAGCTGAGATTTGGGGCTGCACATCAGGGTGTTCAGTGACAAGAATCCCCATAAAACCCCCACTACCTTTAATTATTCTTCTAGATTTCCTCTTCCAGACTTTCCTTAAAAGGCATAAAATTAGGATCATTCTCAATTCTGTAAATGCTTTAAAACCTATTTTTGGATTTAAACTATTGCCTCAGTTGTCTCACAACATTTCCCACTCAAGGTACTGGATCTTCCTGGCCAACAGTTGTACAAGAAGGATTTATGTCTCCATTCCATTCCAATCTTGGACAAATGGAACTTTCTCTTGGTCCAATTAAGGGGCAAAAGTCCATCTGGGCAGTGAAATTAGGCTGCTTAACACCAATCCTGTAAATGGGGAATTGGGTGAGGGAAGGATGTGTGGCCAAGTGTCCTGCTTGCTTCCATACTTTTTGATCAGCAGAAGTTTCAAGGCAAATTTTCCACTCCATTGACCAAATAAACTCTTTTTTGTTTGTAACAGCAACAGCCTTTTCCAAATAGGCCTCATCCCTTCAAATCTTCCATATCCCAGGATGTGTCTGCAGGGCTTCTTTCCACTGCAGCACCATAAAAATATTTATTAATTCCAACACATTTGGCTGATGATTTGTGACAGATGAGGCAAAAAGCAGGTCAATACCAAGAATGAAGTTTTAAACCCAAAGCTTTGCTTTTAATTTTTTAGCCTTGAACATATAGTTGAGAAAGATAACCCTGAACCTGAATATTGCTGAATATTAAACAATCCCAAAGTTGTTTGCTCCAATATTTTCATCCACTTATGATGTAGAAGGAGTTGTGAATGCCCTGCTGGCTCCAGACTGCTTCTCCCCTGCCCTCTTTCCACATAAATTTGGTTTGGATTGTGTGCTCTATGTGGATCTGCCTCATTCCCATTACCCTTCCCAGTGGCAGAGACGTTTTTGGGGTGAGGCAGGTTCTCCTTATGTAGAGTCTTGTTTGAAAACTGTAAACAATTTGGGCTTGCATAGGAATGTCAGGTGGCTTCCTGATTAATCACCCAGCCACTTAATGTTGTTGCTATTTTAGTGTTTATAATGCTTTGCTGGAGGCTTAAGTAGTAAATTTAAAAAAATTTTGTGTGTTGTGTGGTAATGCCTGTGAATGAATTCAGCTACAAGCAGGCAAATTAACAGGAAGTTGTTATTTTTTTGCTGTATTTCCTTGTGAACTGTCTCACAATCCCAAAGCTCTAATTGCTGCTGTGAAATCCTTACATTTTTACCCTCAAATCCTCCTTAGGGTCTCGGGGCTCAGGAGCAAGGAAATCCAGAACACATCAGGGTTAAGGTGAAAAATGACGTGCTGGGATTGGGAGCTACCATCAATCATGAGGTGAGAACTGCACCCAGGGCAGGGAATGGATCCCATTTCAGCAAAAACACAATTATTTGAATGGAATATTAGTGAAAACTGTAGTCACAGCTGCTGGTAGCATGTACCAAACAGGATTGTTTAGGATTTCCAAGACAACCCTTTTAATTTCATTTCACTTTGGGGTGACCGTAGGGGCTGTGGCTGGTGTTACCACTCCCACCAACAAGGATTGGATATAGCAAATTAATTTAGTTCTGAGAGTCTTAATATCTGTTTTGTAAAACTTGTGTTATTTCTGAAGACTTCTGCCTTGTATTCATGTGGGTGATATTTACAGGACAACTGGATTGCTCATCAGGATGACTTCAACCAGCTTCTGGCTGAGCTGAATAACTGCCATGGACAGGGTGAAACAGGTAGGTTCATGCTTGGCTCAATCAGATGCTGGAAGCTCTGAAGCAGAGTTTCCATTCTGTGTCTTTAAAAAGTTCCTGAGGCCCAGTTTGTGATGCAAATAATATTTTGGATAAGGTTGAGAACTGCTTCCCCAAAATCACTAGGAGCCAAAGGATGTGTTGCCATCCATGAGCATGGATTTGTGGACCTCAATGGATCAGTTTTGCTCTCAGCACTCAGAGAAAGGCTTTTTCTTGAGGAAAGAAAACATAAAATGTTTAACCTGTTTATTTCATCCAGGATCACAATATTTGGGACACTTTCCCTGGGCTGTACCTAGAGGAATATTTCTTTCTTTGTAAAGAGCCCAGATTCTGTCTGAAGGCTCACAATCACTCAGCACTGCAATGCTTTGCCTTCCTTTTGCTGATGAACTGTCACACTGCTTCCATGCTCCAGTGGCTTCTTAAATACCTCTTTTTCCTGTCCATGGAGAGCTGCTCTGTAGCTTTTGCCTCAGAGTTCTACATCTCTGCTTTGAGTGTGGCATAAAGTGATTTTTGTGGCCGTGGTGTTGAGCACACAAGTGGGGAAACTTTCCCAAAAGGGCTATTTTTAAAGTTTTCTATTTTTGAAAAGCTTCTTACAAACTGACCTTGCTTTGTGCAAATGAAATTAGGAAGTTGTGGTGGGTGTGAGCTTAGAGAAGGAATTGGTTTATCACGATTTATCATCTTTCCTTTAGTTAAATGCAGTTTAAACTCTGGGTTTGTGTCTGAACACCTCCCTGGAGTGTTGTTAAACCAAAGGCTCCTGTTTGGACACAGCTTGTCCTTGTGCTGCTGGAGCAGAATTGCCAGATTAGTGAATTTAGCAACTCTTCATTCATTCATTCTTAACCTTTGAGCACTGAGTTTTCTAAGAGAGAAAAATGTAGAAGGAAGAGGAGGAAAACCAGTTAGCAAGGAAGTTTTCTAATCCTGGAGTAATAGGATTAAAATTTTGAGCCTGATGCCTCAAAACATCTTCTTGAACTTGCTGTGCAAGTTGTCCTTGTGAAATCATGAGGCCACCCAGGACTCAGTGCTGTCACTCAGCTCCTGGAGAGGTAGGAGAGCATTTCATGGGGAAATTCCACAAGTTCCTGTCTCCCTGGAGAACTAAATCCTGCCCAAGTTGCAACTTGAGCCCTGGGAAGATCAGGGAGGTGCAACTGGTGGGAAACCTGCAGATGAGCAGGGAGCCAAAATGACTTGCCCAGGGCCACAGTGAGTCAGCAGAGGCAGGTTCAGGGAGCAAGGCTTGGCCCTAAGCTCTGCTCTCTTCCCTGGGTCACCTCATGCAAATGACCCTTGGGAGCTCTAATTTCTCCCTGTTTCACTCAGTTCTTTTGGTTCTTTTAGGAAGTGGGACAAGTTTTCAAACACTGAGAACAAATTTGGGTGCACCTTGGAAATTCCAGGTCAGAGTCACATTCGGTGATTTACAGAAAGGCATCGCTCTGAAACTTGTTTTTTTGGCAATTGTTGAAGCTGGCAAAACTCATCCAGGAAAAGACTCTGCCTGCAGCTGTGCTGCAGGAGCAAATGTAACATTATTGGCCCCCCTCCAGTTTCAAACTGCATTAAAAGTCAGCTGAAAAACTTCATTGTTCTTAAAGAACCGGTGCAGTTGCCAGAGCTGGATTGCAATTAGAGGTTGGAAAGGAAGGGCCCCGTGGGGGTTGATGCCAACATTCAGATACCCTCAGTGTCTGTGGCTTTAGCTGTCTTTTCCTTTTTTTTTTTCCCTAGCTGAGCACTGAGTGAGGGCAGGTTTAGATTAGATTAAATATTAGGAAGAAATTAATCTGCTGGTGGTGGGGCCCTGGCGCAGGTTGCCCAGAGAAGCTGTGGATCCCTGGAAGTGTCAAAGGACAGGACTTGGAGCTACCTGGGATAGTGGAAGGGAGTTGGGACTCCATGGTCTTTTTCCCACCCAAACCATTCTATAATTCCTGGCTTTTTTGCTGGGATCCTCTGTGGTGGTGACTGTCCCTTTCCCATGGATAAAAAGTGGGAACAACATCCTGCAGTGCTTTGGTACATGCACTTCGATCACATTTCCTGCAGAAATGCCACTTTGGTGGCTTTATTGCCCCCACTAAAATGCTTTAAAAAGCACATTAATACTCCTGCAGCGCTTGCTCAGCTTGTCAGAGGATTTTCCAGTGCCTGGAAGACGCAGGGATGTATTTCCCTGCCCACTGCAAGTGCCAGCACGTTCTGTAGTGAAGTTCCTCCCTGCAGGCAGCAGGCGGTGCTGCTGCCCCTTTCCCTGTAGGAATAACGTGGCGGAGGAAGGCTCTGTGGAAGCCTTTTGCTGTGTAATGCTCCTTTTGCTACCAGGAGATTCGAAACCAGGCTCAAAGTGCTGCATAGCTGTCAGGATATTTTAGTTGTGATCCTTACTTTTCCCACAGACCCTTTTTATTGAGGATTTTTTTGTTAAAAACTGGATTTGCTGGTCCTTTATCTTCCCATTAGTGGGAGAGTGGGTTTCAGCCTGCTGGCCCTCAGCTCTCCCACTGCAAGCTGGGAATTTCAGTTTTAGCTCAGGGATTCATCAGGTGGCACTGCTTTTTAAACAGGGAAGTGCTGGAGTTCCAGTGTCAGAAAAGCTTGGGCAGCAGAGCTTTCCAGGGTGGGATCATGTGAAAAAGGTGACTCAACTTGGCCCTCAGGGTATGGGTTGATTTCCCTACCCATCCCACAGGCAGGAAAAAAACCACCTCACCATAGTAACCCTCTGCAGAGTTACAGAGCAGAGACTCCTGTGGTGCCTCTTTTCAGGACTAGTAAGGCAGTAATTAACTGTACAACAGGTTAGTTCTCTCTTTCTGGCAATGTTTTGTAAATTAACAGGTTCTGTGGTTGCAAAGAGAACATTTGTACCCCCAAAATAACCTGCCACAGCAGAGGAATGTGATCTCTGTGCTGTTTAATAGTGAGCTTAATCCTTCACGTGGCCTTAACCTGCTCACAGTCTCCCAAAGTACTGCTGAGTGACTCTGGGACTGAGCCAGCCCCAGAAACCATTCCCAGAGGACAGTTTAGATGCAGTCCCTCTTCTGGAAGCCTGGAAAATAAGATAATAGGGATGTGGCAATTTGTTCTAGCTGGCCTTAGGGACAGAAAAGCTTTGTCACCATTCAGTTTCCTTACACAGATGCATCAGCTTATGTCCAAATAAAGGTTTTTTGTGTAGGATTAGAAATGAAAATCCTATGCTTCCCCCCTTTTTATTTCTGCTCAGTCAATATTTCTAATGTTTCTTACATCTTTCTCAGACTCTGATGCTGGAGATACTCTATGAAAAACAGCACTATTATTATTTTCTTACCACAGAGATAGATTTTCCTTTGACCTGGAGTACCTGTATCTGCCTTTTCAAATTACATTTATTGGAAATGGGAAAGAAAGGGGATGGGGCAAAAAAAATCAAGCGTTGACATATTTCAGACAAAACTTAGAGTGCTTCCTTCAGTAATACTTTATGATATTATGTTGTTGACTGGATTTTGAGAGAGGGCATAGGGTGGACTTGATGATCTTTGGGGTCTCTTCCAACCTCATTATTCTGTGATTCTGTGAGAAAATTAATTACACTGATGTTTGAATTTAGTGCTTAAGTGCCTCTAACAGAACTGGACCTTCTTCGCTTGGGTTTTGTTTTTTTTTTAGAGTCCTCAGTGAAAAAGCAGAAAAAGACATTCAGCCTCGAAGAAAAATCCAAATCTTCCAAGAAACGTGTCCATTATATGAAGTTTGCCAAAGGTAAGAGGAGTTTTGTTGTTTCATAAGCCCTGGCCAAGATTAGAACAAACCCTGCTCAAGGTGATCTGTTGCCTTGTGCAGTCTAAATTTGGCAAGTAAAACCTGGGTTTAGAAACACCCCCCTGCAGCTACTTGCTTAAAGCTCTAATGTTTCTGTTCCTCTTTATTTTGGGCAATTTTGGGTGGCTTTAGGCTGCTGATGTTGGGAATAAAACAATCCCCTTGTAAAGGAACTGAATAAAGGAGCAGCAAATATTCCAAGTGGGCAGGGATGGGAGCAGAAGGCAAAGGTGAGATGGGAGTGACTTGGGCATCTGTGTGGCACTAACCCTGCAATCCCCAGTAACCCCTGCTCAGAGATCATGTGGATGGGATCAGGGATCAGATTAAACCTGCATGAAGGCAGAGGAAAGCCCTCTTACATCGACAAGGTACTTCATGGGATAAATTAGGGCAGCCAGAAAAACTGTCAAGAATTTGTAGAGTTTAGTAATTTTTTTCTTTCTTAGAGTGATGAGATTATTTCAGTCAGGCCAGGTTCTGGCCCTTGACAGTTGTTGAGTCCTTTCCCTTTTGCTCTGTTCCCCTTTCACACGGTGTGTGCCCATTTCAGGGCATGGATAGGATCAGTTTCCACTAATGGCTGATTTATTAAACTGAAAGCTCTGTGTAATGTTTTCTGACAGCAAATGCCTCTGCTAAAACAGAGCTAATTGATACCTGAATGGAGGCCAAATTTTCATATCAGGCTTTGAGATTTTTGGTGAAATAATTCGACCTTGAAGTCCAAGCTGTTAACATGAGCCTGCCACTTTATGACATTAAACAATTAAATTGGTTCAGGGCTTGCAAGTACAAAGGCCGTGGCCTGTGTGAGCAAAGAGGATTTATTTTGATTTGGATTTAACCTTTTACTAAATATAGAGGAAAAAAAGAAGTGTCTTTTGAGCATGTAAAATACAGCTCAAGGCTTTCATATTCACAATATCCCAAATTTGTTTGGTCACGTTTCCACAAGGCAGCCTCTCATTTGCTTGTACCTTCTGTGGCTGACACAGGGAAATTGTCCTTTTTCAGAGAAAGAGGAAAAGTTATTTGAGAAAGGCTCATGGTGTCGTGGCCCTTGTTGTTGAATCCAGTCCTGCTTCCTTTCAGACTAAACAAGACAAGCTCACACAAAAGGGGGAGAAGGGAACAGCGACGGCACCGAACGCGGCTTCCGCTCCCGGGGCTGGTTTGGAGCCTCTCTGCTGGAGGAACAGCCACCCCTGGGTCTGGGAAATACACCCCAAGCTCAGATTAAATCAGCTGCTTTTCTAGTAGCTGCTCCCCTGCAATGCTGCAGGAGATTGGGGCTGTCAGCTGAGCTGGTTTCTATTAGAGGAAAAATGGGGGATACGTTCAGGGGGAGGCACGGAAAGGAAGCGTAGCCTGAAAATGGGAGCAGGAGGATTTTAGGTGTCACATTCCAAGCCTTGGCCAAGAGAAAGCTGAGAGCAGCCCCAGTCACTTCCAGCTTGCTTGGACAAGGCCATTTTGAGGCAGTGCAGTGAGGCAGCAGGAAGCTGGGAAACACTTGCTCCTCTAGGCTGATGTGTCTCTTAACCCTCCAGGGACAGTTAAGGATCCTAGGAAAAAGAAGAAGTCAGATTTGGGAATTTTTGGGGGTTTTTTTGTTTGTGATTTTTTGTTGTTGTTGTTTTTGTTTTGTTTTGGGTTTTTTTAGCCATTAAAAGATTCACTTTGAGGTCACTGATTTTCAAGTGATTGAGACCCCAGCAGAGTCTTAACAAGTTGACCTGTCTGGGTTAATTTTCTTTAACTTTTGCTGACCTTTTCCAAAAGAATTTTCTGACAGAGCCAGTGGACAACTCAACGACTCGTGCACTGTGGAATTGGTTAAACCTTTGCCTGTATCTCTGAATATCACATCACACTCTCCTGCTTCCCTCTCCTTGCTCCATGTCTGATATCCAGCTCACCACAATCAGATGGCAGTAATGACCCTCCTGGAAATCTTTGCTTCACTCTTGAAACACTTTTGAGTTGGAATAATAGAGTGTGTGGCAGAGGTGGAGGTTTTGCTTTTCAGGAGCAACATCAGAAATCAGAGAAAAGTCCCCACTGAGTAAAAATGGATTTTTTTTCATTGTGTGGAGGAGCTGTAACTCCCTAATTCTGTCAGAAATGGGGAATCCTCATGAGAATCCAAATACATACACACATTTCTTCTTTTGGCCTTCATTTAGTGGCCTTGGCATAGAACCACAGCATGGTTTGGGACTGAAGGGACCTTACAGTTCATCTCATTCCAACCCCCTGCCATGGCAGGGACACCTTCCACTGTCCCAGTTACTCCAAGCCCCATCCAACCTGGACTTCCTGATTTTTGTTTATGTCCAAGAGCAGTTCCTCTCTGTCTGTGGGTCACACTGTTACCAAAATACATCCTCAAATGTGAAAGTTTTGGGGTTTTTCCCTCTCTTTCCCCCTTCCAGGTAAGGATCTCTCATCTCGCACTGAACAGGACCTGTCCTGCATTTTTGGGAGAAGGCAGAAGAGTGCCAAGACCCAGGTAAACAAGAATCTTCTCCTTTCTCTTATTTCCTTGTTTATTATCCCAATAACAAAATGTCCAAATGTCTTATGCCAATTTGTTTTTTCTACTTGAAGTGCTGTGCTTGAATACTAAGGAAATAAGAGTAAATTTAATCCCTGTTTTTGTGGATTATCATGATATAACTTCTTTGGAGATGGGGAACTCCAGTATTTTAATTTTTTGGTAGGAAATGTACATCACAAAGAAGAATTTTGCTTGACCTGAAAGGTCAGAGGTTGGACTTGATACTCTCAAAGGTCTTTTCCAACCTAAATGATTCTGTGAAAGATCCGTGAATATCCAAAATAAAATTGGGCATTCAGTAGCAACTGGGCAATCTCCACAAACTGCCCTTGTTTTCATAAAAATTTGGAAAGGTTGAGCAGCTGCAAAAGATTCAGAAGGGACCTGAAAAGTGATAAATATTTGATTAGAAGACCTTTCCCTGGACTTTGGATAATGAGATCCAAGTTTGGACCAGTTTTTATTTTATTTATGTGTTAATTAGCATTTTCACTTGCAGAGCACAGACCAGCTCTATCAGTGGATAAAATAACTGTGACATGACCAACATATCCAGAAAAATTCTTTGGAAAAAATAACATCTGGAAAAGCACAAATGAATATATTGCAGGAATTGTCCAGTGGGTTCCAAGTTCTTGGAAATCTCTGGTTTTAAGGGAAAGATAGGGCTTGAAATGGAGTGGAAATTTCTGGAATACCCTGTAGTGTGTGACACCTTGCTCCTTGTGCTCTTGGAAGTTGTTGTGGAGCTTGACTGCAGGTCACTGGGAGCTGAAATAAGGATTTGGGAATTTGTCTGTGAGAGCTATTGGAGCTGGGATTTAAAGGGACAAACTGGGATTTAACTGCTCAGCATTGCTGGGGTTGAGGGAGCAGATTTTGCCCACTCATGAGTTGTCTCAAGTAGTTGGTATTGTTTTCTCTCTATGTTCTACATCTTTTGAAATTCAGAGTTGGAAAGTTGCTTCTTCTGGGACTTTTTCCTGCAGATCATTTGCTCTTTTGTGGATAAACACTGCAAATCACATGGATTTTATGAAGGGTGTCTAAGCTTGTGTATCTTTTTGCCAATCCCTTGACAGATGCAGCGGTTGGCTGATGGCTGCTGTGCAGATTTCCTGAAATGGTTCAACATTCTAAGCACCCAAATTTCCTCATGCAAATCCAGGCAGGAGGGCACAGAATTTGGAGCTGCATTGTTGTCTTCTGGGGAGGATGCCAGAGGCAGCACAATTGCTTCCCCCAGCTCCCCCTTCTCCTTCCCTTCATGCATCAGAGATCTGTGGAGTTTGCACAGAACAGAAGTGCATTGCTCAGGCCCTCCAGCTCTGAGCAGTTTCATTGCACTGCACCCATGAACTCTTATGATCCCTTCCCATCATGTTCTGCAACCTGCTCCTTAAGGTGGCACAAAGGGAAGTGCCCTGTGAGGCTTTGCAGGAATTCTCTGTGTTTGCCTTCTGGTTTGAAATTCCTGAGGAGTTTCCTTCCTGCAGGAGCAGGAAGGTGCTGCCATTCTCCTGGAAATGAGTTGTTCCTACATGGAGATGAGGTAGGAAGGGCCCTGGTGCCCAGCAGAGCCCTGGGTTTTCCTGCAGGTTGGACCCCAGTTCCCTTCAAATTTCAGCTCCTACAGCCCTGGGCTGCTTTCCCTGGTGACAGGATAAGGATTTCCATACTTCCAGAGGAGCCAGAGCTGTTCCTATCCATGAATCTGATTGCAGGTTCCCAGCTGTGGGTGCAATGGAGATGATCCATGGAAGTTCCCCTGTTGATCCTGGAAAAGCTGGAGCAGTGGCCACAGGAATCTCATGGATTTAAAAGACCGAGTGCTGGTGCTGCATCTGGATCAGGGCAACCCCTGGGATCAATCCAGTCTGGGGATGAAGGGATGGGGCAGCCCTGGGAGAAGGACTTGGGGGTGCTGGTGGGTGAGAGCTGGACATGACCCAGCCCAGAAACCCCTGGAGCTGCTGGAGTGAGTCCAGAGGAGGCACCAGGAAGATCAGAGGGATGGAGCAGCTCTGAGCAGGCTGAGGGAATTGGGATTGTTCAGCCTGGAGAAGAGAAACTTTGGGATGGCCTAATTGTGGCTTCCCAGTGCCTGAAAGGAGCTACAAGAAAGATGGAGAGAGACCATTTACAAGGACCTGGAGGGACAGGGCACAGGGAATGGCTTCAAACTTACAGAAGACTGAGTTGGATGGGATATTGGGAAGAAATTCTTCCCTGAGAGAGTGGTGAGGCCCTGGCACAGGGTGCCCAGAGAAGCTGTGGCTGCCCCGGGATCCCTGGAAGTGTCCAAGGCCAGGCTGGATGGGGCTTGGAGCAACCTGGGATAGTGGAAGGTGTCCCTGCCCTTGGCAGAGGGTGGATCTGGATGATCTCCAAGGTCCCTTCCAACCCAACCCATTCCATGATTTTATAGCTTGAAGTTCTGTCTCTGAGGCTCTTTCTGAGGCACCATCTCCCTCCTCTGTTCTCAGAGATGCAGTTTGAGAAGCATTCAGCACGCTTGATGTGCACTGAATGACCCCAACAGAGCTACCATTCCACTCTTGATCTTTTGACAAAGATTTTCAGCTTAATTCTTTTCCCCTTATTTCTATTTGTTTCAGTCTGGAATCACAAAAACTTGGGTGTAACTCCATGGGAAAATGCAGGAACTGCTTTTTTCAGAATTACAGAATTGCTGATACTGGAGGAGACCTGGAGGTCTCCAAAGGAGTCACCTGCTCAGAGCAGGGTCAGCTATGGCAATTTCTTCAGGAGTTTGTCCAGAGTTCTGATTATCAGCCTTCCCTAATGCCTCCAGTTTAAACCCATGAAAAAATTTCAGTGGGTGGATAAGAGGTCACTTAAGGGGCAGAAGAGATCATGGAGTCATGGAATTGTTAAGGCTGGAAAAGACCTTTGCAATCCTCATTCAACAATTAGCTATGTACTATAGCCACATTTCTTGAACACTTCCAGGGATGGTGACTCTTCCACTTCTCTGAGCAGCCAGTTCCAGTGCTAGACAACTCTTTCCATTAAGAAATTTTTCCTAAATCCACTCTAAGCCTCCCCACTGTTGCATTAGGTCTGGCTGGTTGGCTGGTGTCACACCAAACTGCCTTTAGAGGTTAGGAAAAGAGAAGAAAAAAGCAAAACACAGGGAATTCCATCTGTGCTTATGTCCCAAGGGGAATTAGTGGGAGAACTCAAGGCTCAGTGATGGTCTCTGGACCAGCAGGATAAGCCTGGCTCTTCTGAAGAAAATCTTGTCAAAAATCTATCACCCCTGAACTGCTGCAGTGATAAACAGGGTCTCAGCAAATGAGATGTGTCATTGTTCCTGTCATTCCTGTCCACTCTTTTCAGTGTGGTCATTAGCAATCCTTCTATGATCTTGACTGTGCAAGGAGCCTGTGGCAGGTGATGCTCTGTGTGAGCTGAGTCTGAGCCCTCTGAACTGTGGGGCTGATCTCAGACTCCCTTTTTATCTGTCTCAGTGGCCAAGGATTGGTCTGGTAATGGATCATTTCTCTGGTTCCACACCAGCTCTGCAGCAGTGAGTGGGGAATGCTGAAACTTGGATTATCTACCTTATCAAAGGAAGAGGGAGTTGGCTAGAGGACTGTAAAGATTGCAAAAGAGGGGAATTGCAAAGGATGTGGAAGGAAATGCTGTTTGCCCCTGAGGGTCAAAAGAGTTTCTCTAGAAGTAATAAAACTACAGTGCTGTTGTTTTGATGGTTCTGGGATATGTGTTACTAATCAGAGGCAATTGCAACCTTTAATTCTCCTGAATGTTCAACATAACAGTCCTTTTTTTAAAAATTATTTTTGATAAATCATGTGTCCAACTCAAACCTCCTTAATAAACTACACAGGGACCTTTGTTTAAAACAGAAAAAAAAATACAAGTCAAAAAAACGAGGTGGGGAAGAAAACAATGGCTGGGCTTCAGAGTGGACCTAAATTGAAAACGTCTGCAGTTTTTCCCAGGGAGAGCAAGTGATCGAAAATATTGAATTGTAATTATGATGCTCTCTGGAGACCTGCAGTGAGGACCTGTTTTGCAGGCTAAGATCTGCCAGACTTGTTTTTTTGCCACCACTTTTCCCCGTGATTTTCTCACTTGCTTAGGAACAACTGGGAGCTGGGGAGACAGAAAAACAAATTCCATTAGTTCCTATCTGGTTGAACTTCCTGGAACCCCCACTATTTTTTTTTTTTGCTTCTCAGAATTTCCTTCCTCCATCCAGCTGTGTTTCCTGATGGAGCCTTATCACTGGAGAAAATGCTCCTGAGTGAAGCTGAGGATTTGGGAATGAGTTGCAGACGGTCCCAACTTGGTTGCTGAACAACATGATTCTGGCACTGATTTCACTCTGGGGGCTGGGGGGAGCAGCTCTGATTTGCTCAAACCTCTGTTGGAGATGCATAAAAACCTGAGTGTTTTGCATCCATCTCACACATGCATGGCTCAGGCCATTCCATGAGTAATCTGCTTCCTCCAAGTTTGTGTAACTTGGATGGAAACCTGCATCAGTTCCCTTCAGCCACCCAATCCAAGTAGCCCGAAAGTCTCAGGCTTGCAGTGATTTCTTCCTTGTTAGGCATTAGAAATGGAACTGTCCACCCCTGGTGCTTTTTCACTTTTTTTTTTTTTTAATCAGGAAATTGTCTTCTGACACATTTTGCAGAACTTCCTCAACTGATTTATATTTCCCAGCACTTATCAGAAAAGCATGTTGGCTAATCTTAAGGGACATAGCTGAAAATCCATTAAAGTCTGGCTTTGCCCTGGGCTCCCTGAAGTTATGGGTGAACTGATACCATTCCCTGCACCTCAACTTTCTCCCTGCAAAATGCCAATCATGATATTGGTGTTTGTGGGGTTTCACAATTGTGACTTTTAGGCAAGTTGCAAGTTAAATCTTTTTTTTTACCTGTGACCAAATTTGT